AGTTTGGCTTCATATGCCTTGGCAATTCTCAGCAGCAAGAGGGAACCATACTCAGGGTGCCTTCTTGAATATTCATACACAAACCTAAATAAGAGAAACATAGATTTAGTTGAACCAATGAGAAAGAATATGTACTTAACTCACTCCAAGTGTAATTCATCTCCCCAGGGTCTGAATTTCACTAAAYCCCATGCAGTGAAGCTTAGTGGCAAAAGACTTGGGTTCCTTCTTGAGCTCAATTTCTGGTTCTGCCACTTATTTTACTCTATTACATTAGGCAACTTATTAATACTAAAATGCCTTAGTTTCCTCCTCTATAGATTGGGAATGATAATAACATTCATCTCATGTGTTAGATTATGAGTAGAAATACATGACACAATGTGTGCAAAACATATACTGCCTGACACATCTTAAATATATCATAAATCATACCTGTAATTTTTATGTATTTTATAGTTTGATTTGTATTATATCTCAAAAGTATTGTCCTAGACAAAGATATATTCTTGAAATTTTCTTTTTCCTCTTTATATCATTGAAATCTTATATGATACATCATTTTAGTAAATATAATTTAGTGCAAAAGTAGCTAGTGTAATCCAACAATAAAATTGTAAAACTTATCATTCTTACTGATCATATATAATCATTTGTTATTTAACTGTCTTGTCATACTACTGAACTTTTAGCCTTTTCATCCAAGTATGAAACTCCTAGTGTTATATTCTATACTTCTTTTTATATATCTTTGCTGTCAACACACAGGTGGATAGATAGAGATAGATGAGTAGATAGATGATAGGCAATATAAGTTCATATATATTTTAGATATTTAAGAAGTAGCCTTTCAATGAATGATTGAAMAAATAAATGTTATATACATAATTTGTAYACATAAAAAATATTTCTAGAAATATTTCTAGCAATGTTCCTAAGGAGTAAGGAACATTGAACTTTTACCATGAATATTTACTGAATGACAGTGTATGAAATTATTTAATTTTTTTAACCTTTAAAGACTGGGAAACAATGGATCAAAGAAGCATCCTGGGCAACATGGAAAATGTAGTAACTCAAAAGGAAAGCCTAGCATATCTTCAAAAATCATGATCTTCCTAAATCAAGAGCTATGAAAGGCTAATTCCTCATCTAACTTACGTGCCCAAGAAGATATCTTTTTGCCTCAGCATAGTTTTTGCAAACATCCTTATCCTCAGCAAAATCAGCTGTTACTGACGGAAAGTCAGCAGGCTTGTCATCCTCTTCCAGTTCAGCAATGCAGTGGGATCTTTCCAACTCCTGCTTAGCACAACATTCTCCCACTTTCTTGGAGACTGTATCTTGATTATCRCAAATGTACTTGAAAAGGGTTACCTGTGAGGAGGTCAACATTGTTCAACATAAATTGGCATTGCTACACTTTCTCTCCAGACTTTGATGTGGCAGGACACATTCATTGTATTCGTTCATTCACAACCAATGTGTCTTCTATGAACATATATCCTCTGTCAGTATTTCTGAGACTCTAAGCTACTAAAACACACCTACTTGATCAAAATACACTAGTTAGGAACCAGTTATCATTTGTTTGTTTATTATAATTAATTAATCTCAGCTATTTATTAATTTTATATTCCTACTGTTGAGGCATTTGTTTTTTAAATTAAAACTCCATGCTACTTTTTCAAATATTTCCCTCAAAGTAAATGCAGGCATTTTGAAACCAAATAACTAAGTAAAGCATGAAAGATTTTTTAACAAACGAGTCAAGATGACAATCATGAGTTTTGCTTATATGTGTAGAATATCATACTGTCTTAAATTTCTTAAAATCTGAAAGCTCAAGATTCTGATATATGGTCATTATTTTTAATCTTTGAAGAAAGAGAGACAATACTACAAAYTTGGGGAAAGAGATCATGTTTGGGAAAACACTTAATGAAAGGAGACAACATAGAGGGGAAAAATGCATCCTTTCCAAAGGTCTCTTGAGGAAAAATGGCCCTTCTCCAACCCAGTCTTCCCCAACCACAAATATGTTAGCAACCAGCTGTTCTCCTTCACTTTCAGCCTAGATTCTCAGAATATGACTGAAAAAGGTTACAAATAGGTGAAAGAGTTTTTCAGGTCATTTAGTAATTAGGATAGTAGGGTTTACAAGAAAGTACCATAGAGAAAGGAAAGCTTGGAGAGGAGCAAATGAAAGCCCAGAAGACCACATAAACTACAGCCAGTTGTCTCCAATGATGCTAAGTACATCTATTCTACCCACTTAAGAATGTAAGCTAAAAAAGGAAAATTAATGGCTCTTTACCCTGTCATGTGCACATTCAATCTGATCACCCTTGCAGGATTCCATGTGGATTTTGTTAAGATCTGCTGCCATTTTGGTTATGTCAGTAAAGTCAGCTTTGGGAAATCTCAGGCTTAGAYGAGCTACTTCCCTGAAAAGGAAATCCCCCCATCAATATATTATTATCAGGCAATGTGAAAKCCCTATGAAATGCTATTTATAACAAAAAAAATTCAAAACAGACTAACCTATAGAAAAATTTTTAAATTCATTTGTTATTTTAATGTTAGAGCTGAACCAAATGGTGATCTTTTTTTTTTCCTTGTTTACTTCAAATTACCTTTTTAAGAGTGTGTGGTGGGGGCTGGTGTTGTGGCTAAGTGGTAGAGCACTTGCCTAGGCCCTGGGTTCGGTTCTCAGCACCACATATAAATAAATAAAATAAAGGTCTATTGACAATTAAAAAAATATTATAAGAAAAAAAAATTTAAAAACAATGTGTGGTGAGTGGAAAGCTGATGATGTATAAAATCAACAATCAAAGAGGAATGCTGAAAGGGGCAACAGTATGAGGGGCATGAGGTACGGAGCCCAGCTCTGACTTCCAGATCTGATTTCATATCTTCTTAGCAGTAATACCTAGGCAAGTTACTTAACTTCTCTGAGCTTTGGCCTTCTCAGTGTCACAACATTATGCTAAATTGAAGAACTAATTTGAAGATTAAATTAGATAATACATGTGAAAATATTTTACAACTGAGAAATATCACACAAACTCCAGTTACTCTTTTTTCCTTCATTAAAACCATTTTTCCTGACTACTAAAATTCTTCAAGAAAACTAATTTCATAACATCTACATAATGATGGAGTTTTTATTAAACATACTTTTACCAAGAAATTGATCCAGCACAKCCTCAAAGCTCTATGACAAGATATAAAAGGCTAWTGTCATMATTCTTTTCCAAAATCATTTCAGGGCTGTCTAAATACAGAAATAGAGACTTCTTTCCCRGAACCAGTCATTGCCTRTGTAATGTGCATTGGTTCACGTTAGGGGCATTTTGTTTATTATTTTGGTTGTTTTTTATGGTTTGGACAGTAACAATGATAAGCAAAGRCATTTCAACTGACAGTTACTAAAAAGCATGCATAATGTCTATTATTTTAATTTTATCCCCTGTTCTATTGACTCATTATTTTCTGACAAGTGAGGGGTTAGAAGGGCAGGTAATATTTTTCTTAGTCAGATACTGAAGGATGTTCCCAGAATCAACTAAATAGTATAAAAACAGAGGCCCAAGCAAAAATACAAGATKAAGACCAGAGTTGGAGCTAGGCGAAACTACAAGTAGTAACTTAGGCTTACTTGGTGACTGAATTTAATTATAGGACATAACAAGAGAAGTAGATGCTTCAGAATAAAGTTAAATAAAAGACACTGACTAGAGCTCTATTTAAAAAATTGACTATTAGAGTGAGATTCTTAGTCTTAATTAAAAAGTAGAATTTATATGTCTTTCTTTTTAGRACAAAAAATATGATGTATTCCAAATTCTTTAACAACATAGAAAAATAAGACAGAAAATAATGGGAAGTTATTAGTTATATTATGATTTTAACTTCTAAGAATTTTCTACCTTTTATACAACAACAACAAACTATATTTGTAAGCACTGGGAGAAATGACACATAAATGTATACTTTTGTCAATGGAATCATTATCACTTTTACATTTTTATAAATTCACAAATTATGTTAAAAAATATTTACCATGCTTTGAAAGCTCTTTCTCCGGATTTCTCAATAATGCTACACTTGAATTTATATTTGGTGGAAAAAAGCAGTATTATCTTCCTCATACACTCAATCTACAGAAAGAAAGCAGTTTGAAAAAAATGCAGAAAAGAAAATTTCTGTACAAAACACTACTTCATAAACTCAGATGAGACTATGCCACATTCAATCTAAATTCCCACATACTCCCTTTGGGAAATAATTATTTTGCTATGTAAAAGGAAAAATTAGCCTCGTCATAATGGAAGCCTCTGAGTAGTTAAAACCAGCATAGACACATTGCCAGAGAACAGGCTTCTGAAAGAGAAAGTGAACCTTAATATCTCTCAAACATAAAATTTAGCCGACTTCTTAGTTTTGTGCRTAATCCATGTAAGTCCCTCCTCTGACAACATCAATCAACTCCTCAGAAAACAGAATGAGGCACACAATAAATACGTATGGAAGGGATAAATGAGCTCTTGCTTCTAGTTGCAGTAATATACTCAATTTTGAATTCCCTCTTCAGCAAAAAATCTCATGAAAAAGAAAACAAAACTATGGGCTCTTGCTGTACAATTTGACAAACACTTCACTATAGAGATCCTCACCATAGAGAGGAGCAAGGCATTTAACTATGTTGATTCCCTCCATCAGATCAGCACTGGTAAAGCTCAGAAGGAGGAAGGAAGAATAGGAGAGGCCTTCAAAGAGAATAAAATTTCTTTGGGGAACATAAGAGTAAGGAAGGCTCTTTTGAACATGGAGGGGATTTTCTTTAGGAGATTAAGGTTTAGCCAGCCACAAGATGTTCAAAATCTGAGGTTGTATTATGAACTGGTTCTTTTATTCTTCTTTTTAGGAAATAACTTTGGGGTCAGGCATTCTCCTTTATCAGCAGTTGGGCAACATTCTGTCAGATAGTTTTTAAATTTTTCAGCAAAGTAAATGAGTTCTGGGCCACTGAAGTAAGGATGTCTTCTGGAAATTTCATATAAAAGCCTAACATTTAAAAAAGGATAATAGTAAGTCACTTTTTCCATACCACACAATATTACAGAAACAATTACAATCAACATTCTCCCCAGAGCTTCCAAAACCCAAAAACATAATTTACCATTGAAGCTCAATTTGTGTCTGATAGCCTTGTCTTTGTCATTCTTTAAGTCAGTGAAAAGAAAGGATGAATTTGTGATATGCATGTATGTRAATCATATATAAATGGTTAAATTGGGGTGATATAATATTGCTGACTAAAATGAAATCAATCCTAAGAATAACTATATATTTCTTCAGAATCTTTTAAAATATGCATATTTCAAATTTTAATATGGATCATATCCTGTTTCAAGATCAATTATCTTTGATCATATTTTTGGTTGTGTTGAATTTCATGGTGTGAAATATTTTTTCTTTAAAAMTCAACATGAGATCAAAACTTCCAAGTCTTAATGTTGGAAATGGTTTGTGGTATGATACTTATTGTAATGAGTTTTGACTTATTCCTTAATTTTTAATTTTGAAACATAGATAACTTACTGTCCCCAAATCTTCTGGATACTCTCTTCAAAGGTAACGCACATAGCATCAGTATTTTTTTAGATMAAGTGGAGGGAGATTGAGTTTCTTGTCTTTATACTTTACAAGGCAATGGTATCTCTTAATGTCTTGTTTATCACAGCAGTCAGCCATCTCACCATAGGTATCACGAAGAGTGGCAATTGTGCATGTTTTCTCTCCAAAGATAGTATCCTAAATGAAAGAGAGCAACCTACACATTACTGGGCAGGATTTTATTTTCTTTATTGCCAAAGAACACTATAAAAATTTAACATACAGATAAAGCTTGGTGATAAAATCATCTATATTGCAAATATGTGTGGTATATCATGTATGTGAATATGTGTAATTTTAATGTATGAGTCGAAACATGAATTTAAATATAAATAATCTTAAATACAAAATTTTAAACCCATCACCATTAGACCCACTATCCCACTCCTTGTTCTATACCCAAAGGACTTATAATCAGCATACTATAGTAATGTAGCCACATTAATGTTTATAGCAGTTCAATTCACTATAAACTGTGGAAGCAACCTAGAAGCCTTTCAATAGATGAATGGATAAAGAAACTTTGGTATAAATACATAATGGATATATATTTATCAATGGATAAATATATATCCATTGATAAATAAACTTTGGTATATATACACAATGGAATATTTCTCAGCATTGGAATAAAATTATGGCATTTGCTGGTAAATGTATGGAGTTGGACAATATCATGCTAAGCAAAGTAAGCCAATCCCAAAAAACCAAAGGCCTAATGTTCTCTCTGATAAGTGGATGCTGATCCATAACAGGTGAGGAGGGGCATGGGAAAAATGGAGGAACTTTGAATGGGCAAAGGGGAGAGTGGAGTGGGGAGGAGGTATGAGGACAGGAAATATGGTGGAATGTGATGGACATTATTACCCGGGTAYGTGTATGACCACACATATAGTGCGATGCTATATCGAGTACAATCAGAGAAATGAAGAGGTGTGCTACAATTGTGTACAATGAATCAAAATGCATTCTGCTGTCATGTATATCTAATTAAAATAAATTAATACATTTATAAAAAATTTAACCATCAAAAAAGTATATTATACAAAAATTCACTTCCCCCATTAAATTCCCTTGATTTGACTATCTATGTGTAATTGTCATAAAAATCAACTGCCACAATATTACTTATGATAAATAAAACTGAAGGACAAAAAGAGAGCTGATGACTTTAAGGAATGTTACCTTTCTCTGCTTGTTACCTGTCAMTAGGGAAACTAGCCTGAAGTGCAACAGGTGAATTCATCTGAAGAAGGAAGTACTCAGATACTTTCTCATTTAATATACTTCTTTCTGAGAGACCCAGCTTTTTAGGAGACACCATTTAAAAATTAAGGAGTAACATAAATCTACTGCACATTGTTATTGCATTAAAATATAGAATTTTTCATTATAAAAATATTTGTCTCAAAGTACATCACCCATTAAGTAAATCTTTTTACTCCTCATTCATTTTTATTATATAAGTCATTGTAACCCTGGGGAAAGTACACTAGTCTAGACAGAATTTWTTATTTTTTAATGCAATTTTAAAAATTAATATGTAGAACTAGAATATTGGGGGAAGTTAAAATACTTATTCTGCCGTAAAGAGTGATACATCCAGAGATAAACAAGAGCAGTAAAACAAAGTAAATAAATGACAAAAACTAGCCTATCTCACAGAGAGGTATACATAGATTGAGTGGTGAGAGAAACATAGACCTCATATTTTGAAGATGTATTTGGAAAAGCAAACGTTCAAGTTCTTCAGAGACATTGAGTACCTTGCTTTTTTATTGTATTTAAAAATATCAATGACCCTAGGGGCCTGGAAGTATAGCTCAGTTGACAGGGTGCTTGTCTCAGAGGCACAAAGCCTTGGGTTCAATCCCCCCGCGAAAGAAAAGAAAAGAAAAGAAAAGAAAAGAAAAGAAA